GCTGCTGGTGTGATTTGTGAACCACATGGATGTATATACAACTGAAAGATTAAATTCTCAATCTAACTATCTCGATTTAAACCATGATACAGCAGTCTTCAGTACAAAATATGTTTTAAGAACAGCAAGGAAGCCTGACAGGCTATTGTGTGTTTATCTTTTCAGCATTATAACTGTTAACACAGAAATCCTTTTCTTTTATGATTTGAAAGGCATTATACTATAGTTATGTTTATTCTAATTATGTGGAATGGTATTGTAATTAGATTTTTTAAAATATGACTTATTTTATTTGCAGAAGAGGATGATTCATCATTAAAGAAAAGCGAACTTATTAATTGGTATCTGAAGGAAATAGAATCTGAAATTGAATCAGAAGAAGAACTGATAAACAAAAAGAAGATTATTGAGAAAGTCATTCACCGACTTACACATTATGTATGTATAAAGATGTGTGCATAGTAAAGAAAAAAGGTTTTAAGATACACTGCACTGATTCATTTTTAGCAGAATTTCCTAATACGAGAAATACATTTTGTGCTTTCATGTCACTGGCAGAATGCAGTATAAGTACCTTTCTTGTTGAATATTTCTTAAAAAGACAAAACACGGAAATAAATTAGAAGTGTGTATTAGTAAGAGTTTGAAGTGCTGTTTTATTTTCTATTTATTTATAGACGTGTAAGTGCTGATTTGCTGTATTTCTTTAGTTTTGGTTGCAGTAGCATGCAGAAATACAAACAGAACATCTTAGTCCTTGTGTCTTACATAACACAGAGCTCTGAAGTAGAAATTATTATTTTCCAGTATCAAAATGTGTATTTGCAAAGAATTTACTCATTTAACATTTGGGGATTTTTGAAAGAAAAAAAGGCTTCCCATTTTTTTGAAGTATGAAAATGATAGATTGAAGCCTTCCCAGAAACCAAGCTATGTATAGGTAATTGTTGGAATTAGGAACTTATTAAAGAGTGAATTCACAGGTAGAAGGGTTAGATAATTCATCAGTAAGAGGTGCTGCTAGTAGGAAAAGGAGATGTCTTTTTAAAAAGGACAAACAATCCTTTCTGTTCTTGTTGGAATACATTTTTTTTTTCTCTGTTGCAGGACCACATTCTGATCGAACTGTCTCAGTCAGGCCTGAGGGGTTCCAAAGAAGAGGAGACTTTTGATGAAGACCCTTACCTGGTTGTCAACCCCAACTATATGCTGGAGGACTGAGGGTTGAGAACTGGACTGTAGAACTGACTATTGACATGTTGGAAAGTACATCCTTTCTGCATTCTTGCAATGGTTGCTGTATAGCTAACAAATTTGTATCAGTGCTTTACTTCAGAATGCACCAATATGCAATTAGTGATGTATGGTTGATCATACACACTGAGCACACCTGGAAAGTTTTTAAAGAAATAACATCTATTAGTTTAATTATTACTTCTGGGTTTTACTGTCATCACCCAGACGCAGAGAAGACTCATGCAATAACTCTTTTTAGTGTCAAGTGAAGTAGGCACTTCTGTTTTAAATGAGAGGAATTTTCTTCTTATATTCATTGTTGTTTTATTGTATTTGGTAGACTTTTTATGCTATGGGCTTTTATTGCTTTTCTTACTAACGTAAATAAAAGACCATTAAATGTTTGGGGGTGGATTTGTTCTTACTAGTTTGTGGGGTTATTTTCTATGACTGCACTTTGAAACAGAAAAATTGGTGATGTAAACCCTAGGAAGTATTTAAGTGCCAGTAACAGATAATGAAAACTGATTACTTCTTTTTCTTTTTAGATACAATAAAGCTGTGCATGCTCCTGTTGCATATATAGAACAGAAAATTTAAAATAGTTGAGCCCAAAGCAAGGTTTTTAGGTCAGGATGGCAGAACTCTCCCACCTAAAGGAATGTCTTGATTCGTAAGTGACTTGAACAGTACCTTTGTTTGTGAGAGATTTTTAAGAGTGCATTAATAAATTTGTTTACAGATAATTGTATAAGAAGATTCTACTTAAATTTATATTGGTCTCAGTTATGTGCTGTACAGTATGGGATTATTATGTTATTTTAGAAAAGAAATATTCAAATATTTTTAATTCTTATCAACCTGATACCAGCACCCATAAAAGATTTGTAAAAGCTCAAAGAATACCATGATATTTTAAGTACAGATAGTGTAGACTAACTGCTTCTAAGTCAGATCCAGGATGTCAGGGTGGTATAGGGAGGGATTTTTCTATGTGACCTTTTCATTAATAGTTTGTAATGAGATTAAACTGTAATTTAGGTGGAAAAATGTATATTTATATTTCTTCAGAAAGATAAAAACATATTAAATCTGAATTTCCAGCTTAAGTTTCTGCACTCCAGAATGAGGAGTTTTGTAATTTATTTGCAAATTAACTTTTCAAAGTAGAACATAAACATATTGGATCCTTTTAGCATGTTAAAAGCTACAGACAACATTTTGGTTTGTTATTTTTATTGTAATTTCAAGGCTTACCTTTTTGGTTCCAAGAATTTGTTAACAGTTTAATGTTGTACCAAACAAGAACAGAATTTGAGTTAATAGAAAAGATTGTAAGTTGATTTTGTGACCTTTGTCTCATCTGTGATTCATCTCCTGGTGAGTAAGGAAATAACAAACTCCAGTGTGAATGCTAACAGGTTTTGGGAGGAATCCAAGGGAGCAGAATACTTCTCCTAATGCACTTTTAAGAGGGAAATACTATTTCAAATGTGTAACTTTTTAAATACACCCTCTGGGATTTACGCCTTAGTCTCTTTTTCCAGTACACCATCCTGCATTTGCTGAGAATGGGAATTATCTTCCTCTTCTCCATGATGTGTCCATTTAATAGCCTTCCACATGTTACTGTAGAATTTCTTCATCAGGAATTCCTAGAGTTGTGCTGAAGGTGATATGATATATGGTTTTTGGACTTCCTTTTGTTAGTCTGTATTAGATTAGTAATTTATCTTATACGTAGTCCTAAATAATCTTTATTGCACTGTCAATTCGAGCCAACTGAATCAAATGCTTGCTCACTTCAACGTATTAATCTTCTAATTTTAACTAGTTTTAACTAATTTTAATTAGTGATTAAATTGGCCTCCTTGTTTTACAACCATTAAGTAAATCATATAGGCGCTGTATTATTGTTTGATACAATATTTGGAAGTTAGTTATACTATTTTTTTCTGCTGCCAGCTCTCTTAGACCCAGTTTCTCCTGAACTTTAAAAAGCCCAGAAACAGAAGAGATAGAACTAAGAATGACATGAAGCAAAGCAGGGAAGCAAGGAACTGGGTAAGCTACGTATGACAATGGAGGCCCAACAGAGACTTGTAGAAACTCCCTGTCATACCAGTGCCAATTCTGGGAGAGATTTACTTTGTATGTGTATCTGGTAGAGATCAAATGTGGACACTTAAGAGTTGCTTTGTACTTCAGTTGCATGAACATCTAGTATTCTGATACAGTAGTTTAGCTGCTACTTATGAAAAAAAGGGGAAGAAAAGTGATATTTTCCAAAAGAAAATTATTGGAAAGTCCAGGTTAGAAAGGGTCACTGCACATCTTTTTATCCAACCTCTTGTTGGCATCAGAGGCATAGATTAGATTGTCCTGCACCAAACTGAGTCTTGAATGTTCCCAGCATGGGAGATACTATTGCTTTTCTGGGTAACCTATTCCTATTTTGCCAATACCCTGTGTTACAAACCTTTCTAACTCCTGAAGCACCAGGCTTTGCTACTTAAAGGTTTTCTTTTAAAACAGAAATCCCAATCAACAAAACAAAAACTTCCCAGTTTTTGACGGTGATTTTGTTGCAAACATCTGCAGCTTTAACTGTGGAGTTGTGACCAATGCCTTTAATACAAGTACAATCATATTTTAAAAAATATCTAAATAATCAAGTGATCCTACTGTGCTTAATATAAATAGCATGAAACAAATCCAAGAGAATATTTAAACTGTCTTTTATGTTTCTAGATTGAAGCCGAAATTCCTTACAGATTTGGTAAAGAGTCTGTAGGGGACATGGATTCCCATTTTTCTTTGTTATCTGCAGAGATAAATCATTGCAGTCCAAATGTTCCTTAGTCTGACTAAGCATACTTTAAACATGGATGTTATATTTATGGAATTATAAGATTCATAAATGTTGCATGCTGTACTGTGCTATCATTGGGCACTATTTGCAGTAACATTTCTCTGCTACCTTTTTTCCCATAAACTGCATCTCAGCTAAAGCTACATTTTATTAAAAACAACTGCCCACCTGCAGCAATGATTTTCTATATTATTAATAACTCACCCTAAGGATAGGGAGATATTTGTTCTTCGTTCTACGTTCTTTCTTTCCTCCGCTCTCTTTTAGTAAGGAGGAAATGTTTTCTTCCTACTTCTTTCCCTACAATTCTGTATGCATCATATATAGAGGAGGGATATTTTTCTGGAGTTAACACTGCTGTTCTCAAAAATTAACAGCAGGTGGTGCTATATATAAAGTTCCTATTCAATCCTGTTAAATTCATTGTGGCTGGGAGGGAAAGAGTACTTACGTGCTCAAAACAGAGGCACAATGTTTCAGCAAGTTTTTTAAGGTTTCCTAAAAATATAAAATAGTCACCTGAGCATCAAACAGAGTCCAAGTACACAAATTATAGGCTTTGTATACACAGGAGGTTGTCAACTGTGAGTAAAAGCAAAAGTTTAGAGACAGTTTCTACTATAATGCAAATAATAATGAAAATATTTCTTGACAGCAATAAATTGCCCAGATGATTTCACTGATGTCTTAGACAAAAACTAGCTTTTAAGGGAGGTGAAGTGGGAGACAACTGGCTTTTCAGTATAGTTTCAATATAGTTATATAGAGTTTTGTTTAGTTAGTTTAAATGTGTTCTGTATTTAGGCAGCACAGATGGTGGTTCTCAATAACATGATCTCAACTCTTCAATTTTGCTGTATTGGCATGTAGAACAGTAAAGTTATCTCCTTGTTGCAGCAATTTGGGTAAGAGATCTCTATGCACTCACCCTACTGACAGATAAAGTATTCTCAAGGCTGAAGGAAAGAGTACTTTGGAAAGCAATAAAATAATATTATTATTAGCACGGGGACACACACTGTTACTGCTTCTTGAATTTATGTAACAACTTTTCCAAATGGAGGTAAGATGCTGCCTTCTCAGATTGCCTTCATACACCCAAGATTTTAGCACAAACTTATCCCCTCACCTTCCTCAACTTCCTCACATGCCTCAACTGAGGCATTGGTGTCACCATCCCAGCCAAGCAGGTAATACTGCTTTTGTTGCCTTTTGCATCCAGAACATCTATTTATTTGTTCATCTATCAACTGAAAGTTCTGATTTGTTATCATTGGAGTGTCAGCTGTTTCTGGGAGCACTTATCTGTGTAACAGATAACTGCAGTTAAATATTACTCCTACTATAATATAAATAGTGTGGACACTGTTTCTGAGCGAGGTCCAGAAATGGAGCTGGTTTGTAAGACAGTTGTCTTCTTCTTGTTAGTCTCTACTAGCTTTGGGATAGATGGGGAATTAGCTCAGGACTTTGTTGCCATTGCTGGACCTCTGCCTACCACATTAGCGCACAGATTACATCTGCAGAGCCACATTCTACCCAAAGAAGCTTTGGACCCTGCTGTGTCTGAAGCCCACGATGACTTCTGTCAGCAAGATACTGTGATTTCCCAACTGCCCCAGTACTTCTTCCACCTCCGTGAGATTGGGGTAACACATTACAAAGTCTTCCTGCCATGGGCTCGCATTCTTCCTGATGGGGACACCAAGAAGCCAGATGAAGCTCAAGTGCGATGCTACCAGGAGCTGCTCAAAATGCTGGTTGCTGCACACCTCAAGCCAGTGGTAGTTCTCCATCACAAGGGTGTTCCTGACAGTGTGGCTGTAGGCAGGAAGGTGAGCTCTTTTGCTGACCTTTTTGTGGACTATGCAGAGTTCAGTTTCTATGTTTTTGGAGGCCTGGCTGATATGTGGCTCACCTTCAGTGACCTGCCTGAGCTCCTGGGAAGCCTGCCTTACAGTGACCCCCAGCTCCGTGTCCAGGCCCTGGCTGCTGCTCATGAAAGAGCTTACAGTGTTTACCATGAGAAATACTCTGTGTCAGGTAAGAACAGGGGGAAGGATTTTTGTATATGACCGTCTCACAATTTGTTACATGTGATCTCTGTGAATCTGTTAGCAATGCTTTCAGAATTACTTAGAAATATTTGACTAATGGATTTCTTCAAACACCTTATTTTGATAATTGTTCTTCAATTAATAATAATGGCATTTTACTTAAAAGGACAGCCAAAGTAGTCAGGGAGAACATAGGCAAGTATCTCTGTGTGTATACTGACGTATATTCTTTTTAAACATTAAGAAGCCTCAGGTTAATTTCAGCAGCAGAAGCTGGTACTTTAAAAATAGATGTTACCATACTTGTATCTGCTTTGTCTTTTAAGGACTCATCTATGTGCTTGTTGAGGGTCCTTATTAAAAACCAGTTAGTACCCTAGAATAACAGTAGTCTTGTACTGCTTAAATATCAAACCTTACATGTATTGGCTAGGAAAAATCCTTAATTCCTGATTAATCACCTCATTTTCAAAGCCGTCTCACATATTTCAGTGTCACTGATAATTGAAATTGCAATTGCCACTGTTCCATTTTAGGGAGGGGAAAACTTTGCCATCCAATAAAGTAGCTATCTGTCTTCAGCATGATGGGAGTCAGCTTTTTCATTAAGATATTTCCCAAGGAATACATCTTGAGAAGTCCAGGTCTGAAGAATCTGGTCCAATTTATCTACCAGCTTTCTACCCAAGGGTGGAAAACTTTGAAAATGTACTTATAAAATCCAGTGAAACAAAACTGACATGCTTTAAAATGGCATCTCTCATTTATTTCAAGTGAAATGTACTGACAAGATAAAAAAGAAAAAAACATTTGTGAAGCAAGATGGTTGCTTTTAAGATAAGGTATCTTGATAATAAAAAATGCTTTAAAATTATATGTCTTACTTGATTATAAAATACCTCTAGTGAACTGATATTTTTTTTTCATTTGTGTTTCCTGCACTACTGATAGATTGTGCTTTTGTTTTGTTTTGTTTTCCAAGGTGGAAAGCTGTCCATTGCTTTAGGAATGGATCTTATCTTGGATAGGACTTCATCTGAGTTGCTTTCAGTTTCTCTTCAGGTAACACCTTAATGAAAATTATTTCCAATTTAAATTTGATTTTGTTTTGCTTGATTTTTATGCATAGGATTAAGTGATGTATTGCAAGATACATAAGAGTTTAGTTGTCCAATGTGGTACATTTTACTTTTTGATTATCTCAATTATGTGTAGCTCTCTGATTTTAAAAATTACTTCAACATCCTTTCTTGGCTAGTAAGCACTGATTTAAAAACACAGAAACATATTTTCTCTCATATAATTGGCAGTTTTAGCAGTATACATGCTTAAATGCCAAGGTGTCTGCAAAAACTCTGCCCACTGTTTTTTTATTTGCAAGTCTATTTAATGCACAACCAAATAAAAATTACTCTATTTAAAGTAACTGTTATTTAAAAAAAAAAAAATCTATTTAATGTGTTAAAGCACAGCCTGAGCTATGCTAAAAGTGGTCTAGAACAGAGATGGCACAATGTGACTAATCTCTACAAAGATGATGAATCCACTCTGTAAAGACCAAACCCCTCATTTGGGTTGGATGTCAGGGGGAAATTCTTTACAGAGAGAGTGGTGAGGTACTGGAACAGGCTGCCCAGAGAGGTTGTGGATGCCCCATCCCTAGAGGTGTTCAAGGCCAGGTTGGATGGGGCCCTGGGCAGCCTGGTCTAGTATTAAATGGGGAGGTTGCTGGCCCTGCATGTGGCAGGGGGGTTGGAGATTCATGATCCTTGAGGTCCCTTCCAACCCTGGCCATTCTGTTAGTTTCCTGTGATTTTCTGTGATTAGTTGTTCTTTTTGCCTAGAGCATGTTGATGTAGGATGCAGTGAACAAATGACAATGCAGGTGTTTGGCTCGTGTTCACAGTCCTTCCAAATTTAACAATAGGACAAATAATGAGGACAAATAAGTGTGATGTTTCAAGGATATAGGCAAGGTGTGGTTTGTAGGAGGAGGAAAGATGTACTAAAGGAGCTGACTAAACTAGAAGAAACTCTTGGACTGAAAAACAAATGGAAGGCTTATCAGTTTGTTCAATCCCAGCTTCACAACTGGTTTAATAAAAGAATACTATGAATTCCTTTGATCTGGTGGACTTCTAGCAAAGTAACATTGTAATGTGCAATGACTAAAGATTTCTGAAGTGGACTTTCCCCGAAGGATAATTGATAAGGCCACCCTGAGTCATACGGTGACAAAGGTTTCTCTATCTGATTTATCAGAGACTCTTCAGTCTTACTAATTTAAATAATCAATTGTAAATCAGGAATATTAGATGCATAAAATATTCTTACAATAATTTTTAAACTCTAGTACTTCTAAAATTTAGCTTTGTTTAGAAGGAAAGACACAAAATGCATCTTCTCATACAGCGTCCAATTTGTACTCATATTTTTCTGGGTTCCATGTAGCTTTCTGTCTTTTTACTCCAGCAGTGCCTGTATCAAACGTTTAGCAACTCTGTATATTTTAAACAGAATGCCTGCAATAATTTTCCAATAGGATGATCATTTTCCCTTTCTTGTTTCCAGGATTCAGTAGACTTCCTGTCTCTTAGTCTTCAGTACAGGTGTGGAAATGAAACAGATTTCTACCTGAAAATGAGTGAATTCCAGGTAACATTATGCACAGTGTGAAAATGAACACTGAACTTCACGGATGTGGAGTTAAAATTCTAGTAATAGAATAGAGCAGATAGAATAAATCCATCATTGTTCTTACAATTCTACTGAACCTTGTAAACCATCTGTAAAAGCTTATTTTGCAAAAAAGTAACTTAGAGGGGGTTTCATGCTAAACTTGAAGCAATAGACAATTTGTAGTAATAGACAATGAAGTTACTGTTGTAAGTCCTTCAGAACCTAGGTGCATGTGTCTGCAGAGATGAGCACAGAGATTATATGCCTTGCTCACAATTGTGTAGCATAGGCAATACTAGCCTGAAAAGAAGTATGTCAGCCTCTTTCTTAACAATTTTGCTTTGTGTATCTATAGCAGGACACTTATTCCCTATAAATCAGAGGGTGATGGCCTAGCCAGAAGTGTAGAGCAAGAAGTGGAAACTTCCCACACATCATTTTTGGAAAACCAATAAATATTTTTTTAAATATATATCTCTGTTTGAATTCTTGTTTTGCAGAATTTCTGGAAGGACATAGAAGTATTGCTCTTTAGTCTAAAGTTCCTTGATTGTGATTCCTTGGAAGAGAATCCATTCATACCAGTAGCTGCCATTGTCACTGGTAAGTGATATGTTTTGAGAAGTAGAAGAGCTCTGTAGCTGGGCTCTGGATGGGAAATTATGTAATTGTCCTTTCCAGACCATTGCTATTAGGTTAAATAATCTTACAAGTTGTGGTTTTTTGGTTTGGTTTGGTTTTTTTATTCTTTTTTTTTTTTTTTTTTTGCATTCTTGGGGAAAAAAACAACAACAACACAACATACTAAATCTGAGAAAAATAGCTATTAGTTATTAGAAAGAAAAAAAAACCTGAAAGCCTTGTTTCAAAAGATGTAATTGTATGTATGAGTAATGTCATTGTGACATTTAATTTGTGACTAAATCCATCTATTGTTTATTTTCAGCTATTAATAAAGAGAAGGCACGTACAATTGGATATGATGTGAATGAATTCTTGGACTTCTCATCTCGTGTTTTAAGGTACAGTTCTTTTCCCTTAAACCAGATACTGTAATAAATTGGTATCCTTTAGAACAAATATGCTAAGCAGACTTAAGACATTTCTAGTGATAAAATCACTGTTAGCTGCTTAAAGGAATGCAGGGGAATGCCTTTCTGCTGAGTCCAGCCTCTTGCTGTTACAGGCAATCTTCTAACCTGCTATTTCAGGAAATGTAACTGTCTCTCCTTCATCCTTAGTTACCCAGATTTCACCTTCAAGACAGTAATAGCAGGTATATATTCCAAGCATACTGTTCTTTTTTCATCTATATAGTATATATAAATCTATCTATCTATATATATATATATATAAAATTAAATTAAAAACATAAAATAGCAACTGTCCTATGTGAGAAGCCAATTGTGCCCACAGAGTTGTAGAGAATGTCATTGCACAGAAAGAAGCTAAGGAGTAGTGAAGCAGGATTGACTGGTTTTAGCTTATCCTGTGAAGACTTGTGAGTGTGTGAAATTGCCACACACTGCAAGGATTTTGTTTGTGTCTTTGACCTAGTTTAATGAATTTTGAAATGCATGAGATACATAGCACTTGAGGTGCTCTGTAGTTAGTTTATTGCACTTCTCCTTCATCTGCCAGCTGGATGGCAGGAGGTTGGATTGATTGGATGACAAAGTGGCTGTTCCCTAACTGGCATACGTGAGCTGAATGAGAAGCCAACAATTATTTATGCTCCTTGTCTGCAAATTCTGTGGCACTGGCATCCACCTTGAGCTTGTAACTCTTTTTTTTTTCTATTTTCAGCAAAACATATACTCTACAAGAGAATCCAGTTGTTGCCCCTCGCTCTTCCTATCAAACCGTTTGGGAAATGTTTGCGAACCAGTCTGAATTGGAGAGGGATACTTTCCTGCAAGATGTTTTCCCAAGTGGTTTCCTCTGGGGCACATCCACAGGTGCCTTTAATATTGAAGGAGCCTGGGCAGAGGATGGGAAAGGAGAGAGCATCTGGGATCACTTTGGGCATGGAGGTCACGTCTACATGAACCAAACAACAGATGTGGCATGTGACAGCTACCATAAAACCAGCTATGATGTTTATTTGCTAAGAGGTCTTCATCCCCAGCTGTACAAGTTTTCTATATCCTGGCCTAGAATTTTCCCTACTGGCACCAATGAAACCATCAGCATCAAGGGTGTGGATTATTATAACCAATTAATTGACAGGTTGCTAGAGGCTAACATTGAGCCCATGGTGACTCTTTTCCACTGGGACCTTCCACAGGCTCTTCAGGTTCTTGGTGGCTGGCAGAATGACAGTATCATAGATGCTTTTGCAAACTACGCAGACTTCTGCTTTGCCACTTTTGGAGATCGGGTCAAGTTTTGGGTTACGTTCCACGAGCCTTGGGTTATCAGCTATGCTGGCTATGGCACTGGGGAGCATCCTCCAGGAATCACCGATCCAGGAATAGCATCTTACAAGGTAGGGACATAGGATCCTACAGCTGCCATTGTTTTGTTCCTCAGATTCTGCAGATTTTAACTATGCTTAAGCCTAATAAGACATCTGAGACAGTTGATTGCTTGCTGGACTTATGATACTCCCAAGAAAATGTATTACTTAAAGGATGCTAGATTTTATTTTCTGTTATGAAATCAGCCAGGTTCTTATGCTTAATCCAACCCCTGCTATACTCTGTAGCTAGGATTATTTGTTTTGTCAAGTTTTCTTGTTTCACATGGAGATGTCTTTCTCACAGGGCAGTGTTAATGCAATGTTGTGCAAAGCAGTGAGATATGAATTCCTCTGCTTTCTGCCCCTAGGTGGCTCACACAATTCTCAAGGCTCATGCTAAGGTCTGGCACCTGTATAATGACAGATACCGTTCTCAGCAGCTGGGAAGGGTAGGGCTGGTGCTGAACTCGGATTGGGCTGAACCCCAGACTCCAACCAACTCTGAGGACGTGAAAGCATCAGAGAGGTACTTGCAATTCATGCTTGGCTGGTTTGCTCACCCTGTATTTGTTAACGGTGACTACCCAGATGTCCTGAAGGCTCAGATCCAGGAAGTAAATGACCAGTGCTCCACAACAGTTGCACAGCTGCCTGTGTTTACAGAGGAGGAGAAAACTTGGGTGAAAGGAACGGCAGATTTTTTTGGCCTGTCCCATTACACTTCCCACCTGGTTAGTGCCGTGACTAATGGTACCTGCACACCTGGATATGAAAGCATTGGGAACTTCTCTTTGCATGTAGATCCTTCGTGGCCAAAGACTGCCTCTTCTTCAATCCATGTGGTCCCGTGGGGATTAAGGAGGCTGCTGAAGTTTGTGTCCCAGGAATATACAGGGGGAAAGATCCCAATTTACATAGCAGGAAATGGCGTGCCCACAGAAGCCACAGGGGATCTTATTAATGACACTCTGCGAGTGGATTATTTCCGCCGATACATCAATGAGGCTCTAAAAGGTATGCTTTTTTTTTTTTTTAAGTTAAAATGATGACAACTAGTTATTCTGTCACTTCCACAGTGATTAACTTTAAAATATCACCATTTGTAGAGTAATATAAGATGGGCCATCTCTTATGTACAGTGTCATAAATTCCAGCCTATCTGGTGACCAGGCACGGAGCTCTCCATTCTGTCTAGGTACTGCAAGAGGTTTTTCATAGGTACAAAAATAACCTAAAGCCAGTCCCTCAGTGAAAACAGTGTTTACCTACTTCAGTATCTTTGAAGACAATTTGGCTAAAGGCAGGCTCTTATATGCAAAGATCTCATAGATGGGACTGAATGATGTCTTTACTGATTCCATAGATCTAACTGATAGCATCCTGCACCATTGCAAGTTAGAATTTTTAGGGAAATACTTACATCTCAATTATTTTGAGAAAGATTCAATGTATGCCTTTATCTTTGCAAACTGTATCAGCTTAACAAAAAATAATACTGGTAACTGAAGTCCTAGACAAATACAGAGATTTGAGATTTCAAATAGATATTTTAGTATGCTTTCTTCAGATGCACAAATCAATAACATCACAAAAACTTCATTATATTGAATATAATGTATTAATTATGTTGACGATCACTGCACAGCTTTTGATCCTGTTGACCTAGTTCTCAACGTGCTGATAGAAGAGCTGCAAAAAGCAGTATTTAGCATTGCTGTTTTGCCTCTGCAAAAGGAACATGGACTGCATATGGAAAGTTAACTTTTCTGGAATAAGAAAGAGAGTGCTTTACTGTAGGCAATATGAGGAAGGATGCTAGACTTGTCTCTGATGGTACTGAGCATTGTGTTCTGCAGAAATGAATTCTTCTGTGCCTAGGGATGCTAGACAAGCACTACATACATATCATGTTTCAGTTTAAGTATAGTGGTAAATATAAAAGAGCACTGTATACTTAAGCTGATGAGTTGCTGTCAATGGTTTATGGGCTGGTTTGGCCCGGTTCCGTGACTAGCAGGGCGGAGGGATCTGCAGATCCGCGCCTCTGGAAAAAGGAAAACAGGGGACCCAAAATAATTGAAAACAGCGGCAACGATCTGAGGTGAAACAAACTAATTTACTAAATATAGGAACAGCAAAATATAATGAGAGAGAGAGTGTGTGCGAAAGGTGGGTAGGTCTCAGCACAACGCTGAGGTGAGAAGTGCAGTCCAGTTGATCCGATGAAGAAAAGCAGACGGAGACGAGCAGATGGCAAAGCGCAGGCGAAGAGGAGCAGGTGAAGAAGAGAGCATCAAGTGACCTTGTTGGGAGTTACATCTCCTTGCTGTCCGCAAAGCCCCCTGGGGAATGTAGCTGTTCTTCTCCTCCAGACAGGCACCCGGAACTAGAGCATCCACAGTCAAACATTACATGATGTTATGATGTGGAATACAGATAACCAAAAATCATAAAACTATGACAGTTGTTCTTGAAAACTAGAACATAGGGAAGGGAATACCCATGGCACAAGTGGGTTTTACTCAAATACTTATTTTCTGACGCGTTTTTATCACTAAGTGTTTGACTGGCTCCTATTATAGTGATTGTGGCTCTTCTTGCCAAATACTCTAATTGTTTTGTTTTCTTTTACCTAAACACAATTTGTAGATGTTTGGATGTCACCCTGTTGTCACCCTCAGCTGTGTGCTTGTGTTGTGCTTTGCTGCATTCAGAAAATGTTCTATTGACTAACAGAGTCTTGTACTGTTTCTATGACAGCGGTAAAACTAGACGCAGTTGATGTTCAGTCATACATTGCTCGATCTCTGGTTGATGGCTTTGAAGGCCCAGGGGGCTACAGCCTAAAATTTGGGCTACATCATGTGAATTTTGAAGATAGCAACAGACCAAGGACTCCCAGGGCAAGTGCTTATTTCTATTCCAGTGTTATTGAAAACAATGGTTTCCCATCCAAAGTCTCAGACAGAAGTTCTGTGTCGGTGGTATTTGGCCTACCCACGCCATCAAAGTTGCCGAGTCTACCAGCATCAGAAGTTCCCTCCGAGTCAAAGGTTGTCTGGCAGAAGTTTTCATCCCAGACAGACTTTGAAAGAGACATGTACTTTTATGGGACGTTCCCAGAGGACTTTACATGGGGTGTGTCATCTTCTGCATACCAGATTGAGGGAGGTTGGGATGCGGATGGCAAAGGACCCAGTGTTTGGGATAACTTCACCCATGTACCAGGAAACATAAAAAACAATGACACTGGAGATATAGCTTGTAATAGCTACAATAAAGTAGAGGAAGATATTTACCTGCTGAGAGCCTTAGGGGTAAAGAACTATCGTTTCTCTCTGTCCTGGCCTCGAATTTTCCCCAACGGAAGGAACAGTTCAATTAACAGCCATGGTGTTGATTACTATAACCGTCTCATTGATGGACTGGTCGCAAACAACATCACTCCAATTGTCACCCTGTATCACTGGGACCTGCCACAAGCTCTCCAGGACATTGGTGGCTGGGAGAGCAGTGAGCTCATTGAACTGTTTGACAGTTTTGCAGACTTCTGTTTCCAGACTTTTGGGGACAGGGTGAAGTTCTGGCTTACATTCAACGAACCCCAGGTTATTGCTTGGGTTAGCTATGGAACGGGGGAATTTCCACCCAATGTCAATAATCCTGGTGGTGCTCCCTATGAAGTGGCACACACCTTACTGAAAGCTCACGCCAGAGTCTACCACACATACGATGACAAATACAGAGCGAGTCAGGGAGGAGTCATTTCTCTGTGTCTCAATATTGATTGGATTGAGCCGAAGACACCAAGCAACCCCAGGGACCTAGAAGCTGCAGACAGGTACATGCAATTTTTGGTGGGGTGGTTTGCACATCCAGTTTTCAAAAATGGGGACTACCCTGAGGTCATGAAATGGAAAGTTGGAAACAGGAGTGAGCTCCAAAACCTGCCATCATCCCGCCTACCAGTTTTCACAGCTGAAGAGCGTGAGTACATCAGGGGCACAGCGGATGTTTTCTGTTTCAACACCTACACTGCCAAACTTGTAACCCATGCAACAACCCGCCTGAATCCCTTCTCTTATGAGTATGACCAGGAAATATCAACAGATGTTGACAGCTCCTGGCCCACCTCGGCTCTTGCTGGCCATCGGGCTGTGGCCTGGGGGCTGAGGAGGCTGTTGAACTGGGTCAAAGAAGAGTATGGAAATCCCCCAACGTACATCATTGAGAATGGAGTGGGGCTAAAGACCGAATCGGATGTTGATGACCATACCAGGATACTTTACTACAAAACATACATAGATGAAGCTTTAAAAGGTATGCTTTTATGTTTGCTTTTATTTTGTGTTGTATATCTCCCCTCTAGGTTTTTGTCACAGTTTTCCTCTGAGGTGTAGTTTTTAAAAGCATCTTCTGCTGTTCTTTTAATATTCTGAGTGCAATATAAACATAGTGGGTTTTTTTATGATCTCTTTTGTAGAGCCATTTGTATTCTGTATCCTCCACATGTGAAGTCTCATGGTCTTTTTCATTCAGAGATAGCTTAATGAAGCTGAAAGTGCGTATGTGTTTGCAAGTGAATTCCTTGTGGTTTGTTAAATGTGTGAAACATCACTGATGCTCTCCCACTGTTTCTGGTCTTTCAGCTTACAAGCTGGACGGTGTTAATCTGAGAGGATACAATGCTTGGTCTTTTATGGATTTCTTTGAATGGTTGAATGGTTATGAGCCAAGATTCGGATTGCACGAGGTTGATTTTAATGATCCCAACAGGCCAAGAACCCCAAGGCGCTCGGCTGTGTACTATGCAGAAATCATTCGCAATAATGGTATCCCATTGCCAAAAGAAGATGAATTTTTATATGGGGAGTTTCCAAAGAACTTTTGTTGGAGTGTAGCAACAGCTGCATATCAGGTTAGGAAACAAAGGCTGACTCTTCAAACACTCATGGACAGTTAATTCGTTTTGGGTGAGACATAGCTTCTACATTAGGTTTTATGATAACATAAACTGCCTTATGTAACAACTGCCTTAAATATCTCAAAGTTTTTCCCTTATAACGGCATGGTTATACCACGGAAATTGAGACAGCAGCATAGATTTCACAAGGGGAAGCAAACACTGAGCAGCAAGTTGAAGGGAAACAATACCTTTCTTTTGACACTGTACTTTGCTAATACTTCTATGCCTTGTGGCCCAAGAGACCTTACCAGTTTAGTACAGCAAAAAACGATACTGTTTCAAGGCTTAGGCTGATAAGTGAAAATGTTATGTGGTGCCGCAAAGTCTGACAGGCAGAATTCTTTCCTAGGCCAAAATGTCAATTTGGAGTTTACTGATGATTTCTCCCTTCCCTCCCCCATCTTCATTTACAGATTGAGGGAGCATGGAGAGCAGATGGGAAAGGACTTAGCATTTGGGACAAATACACTCACACTCCTTTGAAAATCAGCAATGATGATAATGGAGATGTAGCTTGTGACAGCTACCACAAGATTGAGGAGGATGTGGAAATGCTGAAACGCCTCAAGGTGTCTCACTATCGCTTTTCTATCTCCTGGTCACGTGTTCTCCCAGATGGGACCACCAGATACGTCAATGAAATGGGATTGAACTACTATGAGAGGCTAATTGATGCTCTTCTGGCAGCCAATATTACACCTCAGGTAACTGTAAAAATGGACTGGAAATCCAACAGAGTGCAGGAGTTGAGAATTATCCTGATGCTGAAAGATCAGATACCCACTTTCAGATTTGCCTGTGTGGTTCCTGTGTTGGGATTACTGGGAAGTTCTTTGTCCTTATGAATTCCCAGGCTGTTCAAGATCCCTCAAGAACAGGTGTTGTACTAGACTGTGCTTCATCTGAGAATCAGGGTAGCTTCAGCTGTTCTTTACTGACTTGAATTCTTGCTGTCATGTGATTATTGCGGGCTTTAGTATGACTGAAAGTGAGAGACTCATCTGGACAGCTGGGCAGGCCCTAGAGTTTGAGTCAGTTCCCCTATACTAAAGGAACTGGAACACTGGCAGAATGGCATTTATCAGTGTGCAAGTGATCGCTATGGCCTCAAACCACTACGGACAGAAGGCACTCGGATTACTGCAGATTTGTATGTGCCTGTTAGAAAATTGCAGATGGAGTTGGGCTTATGCCTGCAAAGAAAGCCTTTCTCTTGTCCTTCATTCTGAAAGTAAATCAATGAGTTCTTTCATTGTCGTTCCCCACAGGTCACTCTCTATCACTGGGACCTCCCGCAGGCACTGCAGGACATTGGTGGGTGGGAGAATGATACCATAGTTCAGAGATTTAAGGAATATGCTGAGCTCCTTTTCCAGAGATTGGGAGACAAAGTGAAATTCTGGATAACCCTCAATGAACCCTACAACACTGCATATCTTGGGTACGGCTTTGGTACAGCTGCTCCAGGTAAGACTGCTGAGCACAATTTTTGAGAAGGGAAGGGGTGGGAGCTGGCCTGAACACACAACTTTCTGCTCTCTGTGCTGACAGCAGAACATGGGCAGGGGGGTGATGTGGGTTCCCCATAGCCTGCACATGACAGCTGTGCCTTCAGCAGAATCACTGTCGCATGCATCTCAGCCCGTGGCTGGGCTCAAAGGCACCAGGTACTGCATGCTTGTTCATTACTGGTGAGCAGCTCTGCATGTCCTGGGTGTTAAGCTGCGAAGGAGCAGATTGGAGCTAGGAATTGCTGCTGCAGTATCTGTGCTGTTCCTGCAGGTATCTCTGTTAGACCTGGGCGAGCCCCCTATGTGGTGGGGCACAACCTAATCAAGGCCCATGCAGAAGCCTGGCACCTCTACAATGAGACTTACCGTGCGAAACAAGGAGGGCTGATCTCTATCACCATCAACTCTGACTGGGCTGAGCCAAGGAACCCACACAAACAGGAGGATTTTGATGCTGCCAGACAATACTTACAGGTAGGGAAGAATCTGGTCACAGCTCTCTAGGCTGCTCGTAAATTTGCTACTGTAACACAGGCATTCCTGTATATCTGTTTGCTCATTATAGGGCCAGCTACTATATATAAAGCAGTCTATGGGGAGGAACAGTTAAATCCTAGTTTTAATCCATAATTTATCCTTCTCCCTTATTTCCTGGGTTAGTTTCTTATAGGTTGGTTTGCTCATCCCATTTTCAAAAATGGTGATTATAATGAAGTGATGAAAACGAGGATTCGGGAACGCAGCCTGGCCCAGGGTCTGAGCAGCTCCCGGTAAGACTGTAGCACACACTTGCTTTTCTTCTACTTGCTGAGCTAAAACCTGCTTTTCTGATAAGCTGTTAAGTAGGAAGAATTCTGTTGAAATGGTACTATAAAAATCTTAGTGTAGTCTCACAGAAAAACTAATTGTATATTTTTTCTCTTGCAAATTAAGTTTACTAATATAAAAGAGATTTATCCAGGCTTCTACCCTAGGGGTAACATGTTGGCAGTTCACAGTGATATAATAAATGTTATGCACTATATGTGGTGTTTTGCCTGCCTGGGGCAAATATATTTTAATTGTTCTTAAAATGATGTACTGAACTCAAGCATTGAGACTCATTCGCACCTCTGAATTATATTTGCCTTTCTCACTACTTTTAAATCTGTCACATTACCAGTGTTCTGCTAAGACTATTTTTCCTTTTTTCTTTCTTTCTAGACACATATAAGGAAAGGAAAGCTTGTGTTTTACCCTGTCTGTGCTTTAATAACAAATTGATGGGATTTTTCCAACGTTCCTCTAGAAAGATCACAGTACCTTTTTTTGTGCTTACTGCATTTTGATGGCCTTATGCCTTTTTGTTTTCTGTTGCAGACTTCCAGAATTTACAGAAAGTGAAAAGCAAAGAATTAAAGGCACATATGACTACTTTGGTCTAAATCATTATACTACAGTTTTAACATACAAGTATGAGTATTCTACTGGTATTCTATCGTATGATGCTGACAGGTAAGATATGACTGTAAATTATTGGATAAGTAAAATATGCATGCTTGGAAGCCTACGCCATCTGAGCAATGTACACTAATAGCAAATAAAGCCATGAGGCATTCATATTAAGCTGTTACAACCAGTACTAGGGAAAATAGCCCCAGCCAATACTTGTGATGCTGTGTTCAGAATAGGCCAGCTACCTTATTATGACCTGATTAAAATATGAATTGTTAAGACAGAATGAGGAAAATTAGAGCATCTAAAAATGAAGGAATCAGTCTCACAACCACTTGGTATCAACTGCATTTATCATCTTTCCTGCATCCAGTCTGTAGTTTGAAGTGGGAGAGCGTCCTGGCTTACAGATACTACTACTCCATTTGCTGTTTAAACAGTTGTTGGTTTCCTCCCCACACTGGATAAACTTAATTAAGTTTAAAGCCAAACAGCTAAATCACTTCATGGTTAAATTTACATTAAGTGAAGCTTTTTAGCTACAGGCAGAATACAACTTTAAAACAAAATATGAAAAGTGTTTTCTGGAGGTTTGTGAACACCAGCAGCTCTTCACCTCCCCCCAAGCTCGGTGCTTTTCACAGCTTGCACCTGGGTGCACTTTTCTACAGAGCTTGGTGTCAGATTTCCCAGCTGAGCAGTAATGCAGGGCTAGGCTTGGGGCTGTGCTGTGATCAGTGTGTCCTCCTCTGCAGGGGTGTTGCTTCAGTAACCGACCGCAGCTGGCTGAACTCTGGTTCCTTCTGGCTAAAGGTGACGCCCTTTGGCTTCCGAAAGCTCCTGAGGTGGATAAAGGAAGAGTACAACAACCCTCCTATTTATGTGACTGAAAATGGGATATCAGAGAGGGGAGCCATAGATTTCAGTGACACTTGGCGAATACATTACCATCGGAACTACATTAACGAAGCACTGAAAGGTAAGAATGATGATTGAAATCTGCACGTCAGTCTTGTTGGGAGATGCTGCTGAGCTAAGCAAGTTGTAAGGAGCTGACAGATCACTGGCACCATGTTCCTAAGTTATACACAGATTTACTCTGCAGCCATGCTGAAAGCCTTTGGATTTTAGCAGTAACTGGCCATTGCTGGCCAAAACTTTTTGCAGGGAACAATGATACAAAGGAAGAACAAACCATGGGTTTAACAGAAATTGGATAAGGGCAGCTTATAGCTTCATAGCTGCATCTGGCAAGAGAGGGTTCCATTACTTGATGGGTTAGTGGTTAAACTAGATAGTCCTAACTACTGCTGTTTCTAAAAACTGTACCTTCTTCACAACAGACACAGAGAAAAAACCTTGTTTTACTTACAGCAGTGCTTAAGCTTGTTTGTCTGCCTTAGAGGGAGCTGACTGCCAGCTGTTCAAGTGCTTGTTACTTTGAGCAGCACAGACCCCCATAAACACACTCATCCTTCTCTATTAAACCTTCACTTCTTGAATGAAAGCTTTGATTTTTGATTACTAGCTGTAGGAACACATGAGTGGTAGGGACAGGGAGATGGTGAGATAATGTGGCAGTAACTGCACTGCACTCAGTGTGCACTGTAGGGCCCTGTTTGCACCACTGCTGGCCTACTGGTGACTCCTGTCACCTGACTGCTCAACTAACCTGCTATGTCTGCTCCTGCTAACAGCTGTCCTGCTTGATGGTGTTGACCTGCGTGGCTACACAGCATGGACGCTGATGGACAACTTTGAGTGGGCAGTGGGCTTTGATGAAAGGTTTGGGTTCTACCATGTGAATTACACAGATCCCACGTTGCCACGGCTTCCCAAGGCCTCTGCCAGCTACTACTCACAGATCATCAGTTGCAATGGCTTTCCAGATCCTGCAACGGGCCCACATCCCTGTCTGGAAACGGAGCTTGAAGGTAAGTGGCGCAGCAGAAATTGCACTTCCACAATGTCTCATCATAAGACTATTTTCTCCAGTATTCTTTAAAGAGCTGGGGTAGTAAACTGCCTAATCACCAGCCTTTATTAATGAAGACATTCATGCAGAACATACTGTCGTTTCTCTTTCCAAAACCAGAAAAACTAAAGATTTTATGCTAACACCTAGCTACGCATCTGTCTTCAAAACAGGCAAAAAAAGTTACTGCATTCTACTATGTTTTCCACATCCCACCCATTCAGCACTCCTGCACTGCATTTTTCTTAAAAACAATTTTAACTATTTTCTAAGAAGACTTTGGAAATATTCTTTTTTGTCTTGTGATTTCTGGCCTAAGTATACTAAACTGAGCAGCAACCACTTCAGTTTGGGTGTTTGAAAGGACGTTTTCTATCAGCAGTGGATATCAGGAAATACTTTTCTCTCCTCCAGTCCCAGGAGCTCACTATAAGCCCTCAGCTATACCATTACTCTGAGCTAGAGTTGTGTCAATCGCTGATCCCTGAGACTCAGCTACTGCCAGAACACTGAAGAGCCATGCTAAAAAGCCCTGCAGAGTGAGGAAGAAGTGATGCACACACGCACAGGAAAATGTTCCTGACAAGCCATGTACTAACTATTTCTTATTGTTTTCTCATGAACAGTGATACCAGACACCACACCAGGACTGGCTGACAGCGTGCGCTTTTTGGGATTAGATTTAACATCACACAGTGCAGAAATAGCACTGTATGTGCTTTTTGCTCTTTCTGGAATTGGAACACTGGGCCTGGCACTTATTTCATATAAATATGGAACATTATCCAAAAGATCTCATAAGCAATCATCCATGGAACTTAGTAAAATGTAAAATTTAATTCATTTGAATATGTGGAACAGATTGAAACAGTATTTCTACTTGCTAAAATGCTTTTTTTTTTTTCTTTTTTTCCTTAACAAAGGAAGCCTACCAAACTGTACTCTGTAGCACTGAAAAAAGATACCTAGGGCTTATACTGCTGCAACTCAGTATCTTGCCTTGGAGGTGATTTCCAATTTTGCTGTTTGCTTAAAATATTAATTAAAAAATGCTATTTTTTTTCCAGCTACTACTGATAATTTTTTTCAAGTCAAAACTAAAATTGACTGTTCCAAGTTGTGTAAGGATTCTGAGCCTAAACCTTCATCTGCCCTCCTTCATGATCTTCCCTTGGATCCTGCTTGTCTTTCCAAGGGAGCTGAGAGCATCCCATGAAGCTCTGCTGCTGCTTAATCTTTTGAAGACAAGCTAGTGCCAACGCTAGCACAAACAGGTCTAGGAGAATGTACTGTTCTATTGCAGCTACTGTGGAGGTTCCCTCCCCCCCCCTTCCCCCTTTCCTTCATTTCATCTATAGTATTTTCTTAATTTTATCATGAATTATTTTTTAACAGAAGTAATAGTATTAAGCCTTTACATTTGAACAGTGCAATACTTACTGAAGTTCCTTTACAAAGAAGTCTGCAGCAGCACTGAACACCTGTAACTGTAAAAAAATATAAATGCACAATACCTGGGGAGGAAGGAAAGTCAACATTCTTCATATGTGAAAGCCACATCCTCACCTTCAAAATAAAAGCTTCTGTGCTCTTGTACTGCAGTCTTTCTTCTCAGCATTTCCACTTTATGTGACAAAGAAAGTGTTTTTCTCCTGTAGCACCTTTTCAGACACTAAAAACTTTCATACTTCTTTTACCAGATTTCAACAGGAACTCCCAAGTAAGGTCATGTAAACTGAAACAACTGTGACTTGTATTTTAAATCTTAGCAAGTAAGCCTAGCTGCTTGCTTCTTTGTGACTATGTACCTCAGAGGAATGTTACAAGAAAAGACAGCTACGTTTTCTGGAAAATAGTTTATTGAGTGCTTGGGGAATTAAAAACTACAAGGTTTTGCTTGCAGTTGCAGAAGCAAGAAAAAAGTTAAACATAAATTAGTTACCTGATTTGCTACTTATAGTGCTTCTGACATCCTCGTTTTAAATCAGTCATTCCCTACTATGGCCTTTATATTAACACCTGTCGCTTAAATTTATGTAGCAGAATATTTAAAGATTAAAAAGTGCCTTACTAATGGCAGTAGGGTAATGATTATGAAAGCTGATGGAGATTTTCAATCTTTTCAACTCTTGACTTCTTAAGCCACAGCTACACCCACTTGATTGTTCTGAAACAGGCAACTTTATTCCATACTCCACTGAAGGAATAAGAATTAAGTAAATAATTCAGTTGGTGTGAAAGAAGCCCCACTTCTCCAGAAGCTTTAGTTGACTTAAATCAAATAAGGGAAAAAAAAAAGCCTAACTCATTACTGCAGATACTCAAAACTACATTTGTTGTGTAGAATTTCCATTCCAAGTATTGTTTTCATCTTCTCCATCATCTTGAGTCCTCAGTCTATATATTTTGCCTTCTTTTTTGAAGTCTTCCCCTCGTTTTTCTGTTACTCTTTTCCTGACAGTTTGCCTAGGGTACAAAAGGCAGTATGTAAATGGAGCATCCTTCCTTCTCTTATCCCCAAAAATAGGTTTCCTCAGCCCTTTCTTTCCCTGGGAAACAGTACCCAGCTGAAAATATGGCATTTAGTAGTCAGACAAACAGAACTTTGATTCTCCTGTCACTGAGGTGATAAATGTCTACTTCATGTGAAATAGCTCCTGGTATAACAGATTTCTCCTCCAACACAAAATCTCAACTCTCTGATCGACTGCTCATGTTCCTTGTGTAACTACACCATAAGAGAACTTTACATCTTCAAAATTTACACTTTCAAAATTTTTATCATCCAAACAGCATCAGCTCAAGTGAAACCCGCATTCATAGTTACAGCTGAATTCTGTATTCATTAATGGCTGCAAAACTATCTTGTATTTTTTTTTTCCCTACGCTGTAGTTGGAAACTGAAGCAAGCAAGTAAAGAGCTTGCTTAATTACACAAGTACAAAGCAAGATATAGCTTAATCAGGGCTGAGATGCAGTTTGTCTGCCCCCAGTTTATCCTTTAGCCACACGGAAGGGTGGTTGCCTGAAACTGCAAGTACAGATATGGTTCTTTTATAAGTTCAGTAAGATAAGACTAAAACAATTCTAGCAAGTACTTAGAGCCACCATAAACAGTTTTGATTACCTGCTTTGCTCAGCATTGTTAGAGTTTGAGGGATTCGAATGGTCTTGCTGATGGACTGTTCTTACAGTAGATTCTGAGGGAGGTGGACTCGTAAACAGAAAGTTGCTAATAAATCTCCAAACTGCTAGGAGGGGATAAAGTATCGTGCCCAAGAACTTCCACAGATCACCGCCTGAAGCCTGAACAACAGAAGTAGCAGGTCTTCCTGCCTGGATACAAACACCAAAAGCAAACTTGTCAGGTATAAAAGCTGTACTCATGAGCAGCTCAACAGACACTAGAAAAGACCATATTTGGTTCCACAATAAACAAATATCTATGTCAATCTCTTTCCTAATTAGTCCAAACAAAAATTATACTAATTTTGCAATATGTCTCAGAGACAGTAAAGAACAAAATTCAAGCAGATATTATAATGGTTGACCAGCAGCACCTGTATAGAAACAGTACTGATGTTTGTAGGTGGATGAAGAACAAAGCAACACTTACTGGCAGCAGCACTACAGAAGCACTGGGTGCTAACTCCAACTCCAGTAACTTCTTTCCATAATCTTCTTTGGTAAATTCCCTTCTGGGAAACATTGTTGCCAGAGAAAAATTGCCGTAAGCATTACCAACAGTCTGTGAAGGTATAAAGAAAACATTTTAGTTACAAATAACTGCTCACTTTCCACTTTCTAAACAACTGCGGAGCTGCCAGCTGAGCATCACTGCCCTACTGACCAAGAGTTCTTATCAAAATTACAATGATCTTCATATGGAGAATAGCAGAACTTTTCATATCTCTTACAAGTTCCATGCTGCAGCTGTACAAAGGCAGTTGGTGGTTCTGGAGAATGCTGCTAACCAAAACTCACTTCAAATTAACAGAAAGGAAAGCAGCTAACAATGATTCTGCCATGTTCAACTAGTTGCTGCTACGTAGCTGAGAAAATGAAACACTGATTTACCTGTGCAGCAAACTGCCTCGCTTCTTCCAGCCGTGCTTCAGATGGGAACTGGTTAGTAAAGGAAGATCCATCTGGAAGGCGGAACTGAATCCTGGCTATTGCACTGCAGGACATTCACCACGGTCAGTTGGTATATTAACAATTACAAACAGTCCTGGGGCTTTAGCTTGGCAGTACTCAGGTGTGCAAGGGAGGGGCAGCCATCTGACTTATGGCAGTTCAGATAGCTTATGGATTTGGATTTGTGGTTGATAACCATCTTCTTTATATATCACCATGCATCTCTGTGTTTCACCAGACTCATCGGTATTCAAACAAGATGCTTATATTAATCACACAGAACAATGAATATATGAATGAAATATAAACCACACATTTTGTGTAGCCTGCATTACTTCTGTTGGATTTTTTGGGAGTTATATTATGAGGGCATAGGTATTCACTCTAGGTTGGCAGGTAATGCTACATTCAGCTATCTAACAGGTTTCTCCTGCACTGTGCCCTTTCTTCTGGGGTTTTGGTTCACAGTGGTTCAGTAACTATCTGAGGCCTCCATAAGTTAGGATACTTTCTGAAACAGGAGCCATGTCTGACTCTAATGCTTATGTCCATATAGTAGCCTTGCTGAATCCAAGCCAGTTGTGCCAGAGAAATAGCTGGGTCAGCACCACATTCTCCACCATAGTTCTGACATAACCACCTCATCTAGTTCCTTACCTAGCCCCATCATACTGGATATTCAAATCAAAGATCAGGAATCATTATCAGGAATGTCTAAAAGGATGCAAGTTATCTGAGAACATAACCATTAATGGAAATAGCTACGAGTTAATATTACAAAAGAAAGCTAATTTTTATGTCAGTATTTAAACACACCAGCATAGCATCAATCAATAGGTTAGGACATAGTATTAAATTTCTTAATGCTTATGCAAAGATTTTTTTAACCTTTCTTCCCATGTGTCTACATTTCTGCTTTCTCTAAAACAACTCACCTTCGCTCCTTTTGAGATGCTTCTTTCCTGGCTTCTATTTCAGCCTGTTTAGCCTGAAGAGCTGCAGCTTTTGCAGCTTCTGCTTCTTCCTTCGATTTTGCAAAGCGAGCTGCTCTCTCAGCACGATCCTTAGGAAAGGCCAAACATAAACCTTCATTTTCACTACGAACCTCAACTTAATACTCATAAAAACCTCAATCTGTACTGAGAACCCAACTGCTCTAGGTAGGCTGCACAGAGAAAAGGCAGTGGTGCTGCAAAGCTGTACTCACTGTCAAACTGCACTGTCTCTTGTCACTAGGAAAGATAAAATACGCTTTTCAATGAGTTACTTCATCCAAGTAGTCAGATAAGCCTTCCCATGAAAGTGTAACTTTCCAGTGAAGAGAAAGGGAAAAAATCTATGACAAGTCACATTGCTGTAGTTCTACATGTTCTAAGCAAAACTTGGAAACAAAGAGGAATTTCAGCTGTGAACCACTGACATGCATACATAAATACCTATATATATGAACTTAAAACTAAAACAAAAACCTCCATTTTCAAACAATTAAATATTTCCTGGGCTTCCATTTCAGATCTCAGTTTGAACTGCAATTTTTTTTTAAATGTTTAATGATAATTCATTACTAGGCTCAAGCTACATAGAAAAGAGCTAGCACATTAATTCTCACAGATATCATCATTAAGCATATAAAAGTAGAAGCTTCACAGCAAATGCTACTAAAATGCATAACTGTCACCATGCAAAGCCAGAGTTCCAAACAGAAAAACTGAAAATTTTTCAACGTTTCACCAAATGAGAAAATGTATCCTGTTAGTACTATCAGCCCTTGCAAGAAAGAAGCAGCAAGCTGTCATTCCAAATGAATAAATTACCAATGCAATCTGTTGCCTGATGCGCTCTCTAGCTGCCTTCTCTTCTGCTTTCTCTCTGTTCCTTTCCTCTAACATTCGTTTTGTCAATTCTTCCTCCTGACGTCTTTTGTACTCCAACATTTCTTTACCAGTTTTTCTCCGTTCTATTTCTTTCTTAATTTCTTTCTGAATAAACAAGAGAGACAATAAAAATGAGACCATAAAATTGCCTTGGGTAAGTGTAGGAGACTGAAGTATATTTGCTTAAAAAGCAATTAAGCATTTATTCAAATACGGGTGTCTAAATAAATACTGCAAGCAGTATTTTTGTTTTACCTGTTCTTCTTCTTTCCTTTTCTCCTCTCGTCTTTCTTCAAGCTTTTTTGTGATTCTAAATTTAAAGGAAAGGAAAAAAGCTTTAAAATGGCATTATCTACTATTAACATTCTTACTTTCAACGAAGCATTTCCCAGCACAGAAGAATAAAACACATGAAAGTGAGGAGGAACTGTAACACACTGCTAACAGCTAATGTAAGAGTAATGATTCATTCACACGTGGCTGTACCATCCCTAACAACACGAGGTAGTGATTCAGCACCTAGCCTGCAGTTTTTAATGGTAGTTTTAACATATTTCTTCTGTTCTTTTCTGTTGACTAAATGAAGAACATATTCTTGTTGTTTGACATCTTGTAAGACATACAATAAGCAATACTATTTGTAAACTATGGTAACAGAAACGCTAAGCTCAACCTGTTCTCAACTATTTAAGCCATCTGGTTTCTTCTGCACATCACTTCCTAAAATGGAAAACAAACAATATATATCAA